TTTTCACACCATACCAAACACCGCAATAGAAGAAGGTAAACCAACCTTATAATGCAATATGGCTTCCTGAAGTTTTCCCTGTTGTTGAAGAATCGATGCCAAGTTACTGTGAGCAGCCGCAAACTCAGGATATATCTAAAATGAAAAGTCATGGAAGATGGTCAGAGATGATCAGGAAGCCCTTCACTGAAAACAAAAAAGAAAAAAAGAACAAAAAAGCAAGAATACCTCAAGTGCTTTAAGATAAAGTCGCGTAGCCTCTTCGATTTTTCCCTGTTCTCGCTTAATGTTAGCTAAGTTGTTCTGAGAATCGGCATGAGTTGGACATAGCTGGAAATGTGAAGGGAACTAGACACCGACAAAATCGAGTCATTTCCAAAATAGAAAGTAAAATGAAACAAACTTACCCCCAATGCGGTCATATAAGCATTCTCCGCCTCTTGTACTAGACCCTTCTCCTTCAGAGCATTTGCAAGATTGCAATATGCATCTGGGAAGTTTGGTTGCAGCTCAATTGCGCGACGATACGTATCAATGGCCAAGTCAATCAGTCTATAACAATAGTTGTCTTTATATGTATGGCGGCAGCTACTACTAAAGTGAACAATCAACTCACCCCTGTTCGTAATAAACACATGCTAGATTTCCATGAACGACGGCGTGGTTTGAAGCCAGATTAAGAGCACGAAGGTAAGCAGCAACAGCTCTGTAAATAGGATTCAATCAACTAGAAGGGAGGAGGAAAAATTCAAATTACCTGTCAAAAATTCGCGCTTCCTTGAGAACATTTCCAAGATTGATATATGCATCCAAAAAGTTTGGATCAAGCTGAACAGCCTGAAATGTAAAGAGTTAGTCTCGTCAACACGACCCTGCAAAAATTTGATCCACGGCTGCAAGGAATACACAGTGGCTTCTCCACATGCATTACTTGAAGAATGGTAACCGACCTTTTCGAAATGGTGGATTGCCAACCAGATTTCACCTTGAGCATTGAACACGCAACCGAGATTAGACCAAGCCACAGCGAACTGTGGTTGCGTTTCAATAGCTTTCAGATAACATATCTTAAATGACAGCAGTCATGTTATATAAATGACACAACAACGGAAAAAAGTGACAAATGTGTACAAACTAATCGCGCAGTTACCTTTGCGTCTTCTAATCGACCCATTGCCTTCAGCAAATTTCCCAAATCACTGCGC